AAATTAACTTCATCACAAATAGATGTGGTAAAACTCAGAAAGAAGTGATTATGAATAAGCCAAAGCTTAAGCTTAACCATAAGAAGATTCTTACTCACAGTCTGGAATGGCACTTTCTATGGGGAATAGGGTAGCAAAAGAGACCTCTTTTTTTTAGAACAAGCCATGAAAAGATTTGTACAAAAAATTGTGTAGAACTAGTGGATTAGGCTGTGCAACCTTTGCTTACACACAGGGAACTCTGCTGAATGTGAACTGGATTACTTGTATTGTACTTCCAAAATGGAAACTGCACATCACATAAATATATCAAGACTCATACCACACTCAGAGGTTTCTCAAAATATTGTACACATTTCTTTACAGACTTAGATGACAGGTGAAGTTATCCTGTGAACTGCCCCACACAGGCCTAAAAATTCCAGGTTCCAGTCACGGAGAATATAAAATAAAAATCACAACACACTCACCCAATACACAAACCAAGCCCTACATGATAATTTATAGTAACATACTTACTTGCTGTAATGAAAATTAACTGCCTGATCACTCAAAATTTCAAACTGAACAGGACGATCACCCATGCAGTATTTTCTTAGCGACTCCAAACAAGAGTGTACTGTTTTTCTGGAGGGTTTGTTGTCGTGAAAAAGGTCTCCACCTAATAAAATAAAGTCCACCTGTATGTAACAAAAAGCTTTATTATTTTAATACAACATTTTGTATTACCTTGAAAGACTTCTAAGCAAATTGTTTAAATTATTTCTTCTGGGGAGTTTCATATATTTCCTCAAATATGAGAAAATAATACTTCTAGGTAAAAGGAGTTAGTTGTAAGAGAAAAAATATTTAACTTCCTAATTAGAAAAAACCTAATTAAATTACTGATTAAAACAAAGTCAACCCCAAAAAGACCCATTTATGAAGAGCCATAGGAGAAAACAACTAATAATGGTAAAAAAAGGATTAGTCTACTATTGTAATAAGGGGCTCCAAATTGGCTCCCGAACATTTTTGACAGGCATGAAAAGCTACATTATTTTCTCACTGCTGCACTACCTAGTGCAAAGAAACCAGCATCCATCACCACATTATTCTGAGAAGGTGCTAGCTGCTCTTTCTGCATATACTGCATATATTTAGCTTTTGGTAAAGCATTAGGAAAAAAACCTTATCAAAATTACAAAGAATCTGACTGATGAACATCCAGTCCTTAAAAATGGAATCACAGAATTTTTTAGGTTGGAACTCTAAGATCATCAAGCCCAGGTGTTAACCCAGCACTGCCGAATCCAACATGAAACCATGTCCCCAGGTGCCACATCCATACATCTTTTAAATATCTACAGGGATGGCGACTCCACCACCTTCCTGAGCAGCCTGTTCCAGTGCTTGACAACCTTTTCAGGGAAGAAATCTTTCCTGATACGCAGTCTAAATCTCTTCTGGTTCACCTTCTGGCCACTTGCTCTAGTCCTGTTGCTTGGGAGAAGAGATCAACTCCCACCTGGCTACATCCTCCTTTCAGGCAGTTGTTGAGTTCAATAAGGTCTCCTCCGAGCCTCCTTTTCTCCAGGCTAAACACTCCCAGCTCCCTCAGCTGCTCCTCACAGCACTTGTGATCCAGACCCTTCCCCAGCTCTGTTGCCCTTCTCTAGACACTCTTTAGCCCCTCAATGTCTCCCTTGCAGTGAGGGGCCCAGAACTGAACACAGCACTCGAGGTGTGGCCTCACCAGTGCCCAGTACAGGGGGAGAGTCACTGCCCTGCTCCTGCTGGCCACACCAGTGCTGATCCAGGCCAGGATGCCATCGGCCTTCTTGGCCACCTGGCACATACATATTGAGCCTTCTGTTCCCATCAGAACCGTGTCTCCTATAACAACCCACCCTTTTTCTTCATGGAAGGAGTTTTGATACTGGGCACAGGCAACAACCTCAGCAACACCTCTACACTAGATGAACCACTGTCCTTGTTCAGTTCCACTTGCAGACCCTCACACCTGTTATGTCAGGGCATGTGGGGATGTGGGGCAGTCACAGAGGAGATGCACCTGCTGTGCTGGGCGGGAACTTGTTGCTATTGTCCCCCCGCCCTCGTCCCTTAATTCAGTGAGTTCATCCAGAGGATAGGGAATCCCCTGGATCATGTGTCCTGCCTGCCTGTCAGGCCTACCCTAAGGAAAGTAGACTGTGATTCCAGCAGAGTCTCTGTCTCTCTCTCTGTCTCTCTCATACACACTCCCTGATACTCCTCAACCAGAGCTGTGTCTGGACAGGGACTTCTCTCTAGAAAGGCCATGGCTTTCTGCCAGATAGACACCACCGCTCCCTGGTGGAGCTGGCAGGGCTCAAGTGCTGTTCCTGCACAAAAAGTCACACCACGGCAGGTCTGTTTGCCATCCTGGAAGTGCTCCAGCTTGCTGCCATTTCCCTGGAGCTTCTTTCACAGGTGTGGGGTGGGGTCTTGGCTGCCACTGCTCCTGAGTGCACCCAGGTCCCATCAGCCGCTGCGGGGGCCTGGTGGCTCTCGGCTCCTCCGACATTGTCCCAGTTCAGGAAATCCCTCTGTCCACCCCACTACAGGATTCTGCCACCGATTGTGCAGGAACCGGAGCTGCTCGGCACCAGAACTGCTCACTTCAGCAACTCAGCACTGCATGACACTTCAAAAGCTTCTAACAAATCTCTACTGGTTTGTCAGAAGACTGTATATCACTACTCTCACTCTCCTCAATTATTTTTCCCCCTCGCAGTGACAAACCCTCTCTAGATACAACTGAAACCCAAAACCACTGCTAATGCAACCAAATCATGATTCAGTAAGAATGCTCTCACAAAGAATCAGGCGTTCCTTTTACTAAACAAGAAATGAAACTGAATGTAACAAATAGTTCAGCCATTTGATTTGGTATTACTAGAGACTGTACCAGGACTAAGCTTTACAGCTTCTGGCAGATTGGACCATATTTTAACAGCTTCAGTTTTCCCTTCTGCAAAAAGTAGCACTTACTTCATTTTTTTGAGCGTGGTCCAGAATTTCATTAAAAGTTACAAATGTATCATTTCCACGCACTGGATCCTTCTCCAAATAGCCGAGATGAATATCAGTAGCAACGAGTATTTTAAAGGTATCTTCATCATCCCTGAATAAGACAGGAAAACTAGTGTCAGAGAGCAATACATATAGGGAATTTCTATACAGCCTTTACTAAGGTAAGCTTATCTGTCCAAAGTCATGAAACAAGAAGATTTGCCATAAAACTCTACCAAGTATCAGTCCAAAATACTTCACTACTTGTACTGCAAACAGCACATTGCCAAACCAGCCAGTCGGAAGATTGGTTTATCCCAGTCATTCTGCTCCATTGCAAGCACCCCTCTGAAGTATCTAATTAAAAACTAAAGAACCCTTTGTATGTTTCTTGCTTTTAAAAATACTTGTGGAAAGTCTAATTCTCTTTTTGCACTGGTAATCTATACGTGCATGAAGGCAAGCACGGTGATCATAAGGACCCAGGGAAATACAGCTGATGATCCCGGCTCTTCTTAACTCGTCCCAGACACATAAAGCACTTGCTGCCTGGTGTGTCAGGACTGCAGGGAGCTGCAGACAGCGGGAGCTTACTGTGAGTTGACGGCGCTCATCCTGGTGCGAGGTTCCTCACGGGAAGGCTCTGGCACAGCGCTGACGGCTCAGGGAGTCAGCTTCTCTCTTCACAGGCGCTACGCGAAGCACAAGAGACCAAACCAGGGGCCGGGCCAGG